ACTATATCCTCCCCTTGTTCTATCTCTCTCATGTTGTTCCCTCAATGGACACTCACTCCTCCAATGCCCTGCTTCCCTACAATATGCGCATTGGTTCCTACTTAAAGGCTCCCTATTCCACTTATTCTCGCTTTTCTCGGTTCCCCTGTACACTTCCTTTTCCCTTCTATCTACACCAGCGATAGCTACCGCTAACATATCTGCCTTCCTTCTCATCTTACGCTCTTCTTCCTTCTTCGTCTCTGTCTCCTTATTCATATAAACCTTATTTGCTATTTCCATTAGTTGAGTTATAGACATCCCTACAAACCCTTCTAGCTTTTGCAATTTTCTTTTAATATCTCCGTAAGCCTGGCTGACAAAGGCAGAGTTAACCATCCGGGAATTCTCAGGAGCCTCTGGACTAAAGGGGGTATACAATCGGTATGCCTCCAATAATCGGTCATAAAAGGCACTGGGCGACTCATCACATTTCTGCAATACCTCAGCCGTCTTTGACATATTGATCGCCTTTTTCCCTCCGGCTTTCATGCCAGTAATAATGGCTTCCCTATAAGCTTTTAGGTGAGCCATATCAGCACCATTAACATTCCAATTCGGATCTACGTTTGGGTAATGAGCTGCGGCCCATGCTACCGGGTTGGCCTGATTCTGTGCACGGGCCACTTCTTCAAGCGCTTTAATTGCCGCCTGATTAATCCGAGTCCTTTCCTCGTTATTAAACAATGTCATAAGCAATTGCTGGCAATCAGCCCAAGTGGGATTGTGTGTTTGGATTATGGAGGTAATCAAATCTGTCATGGCTTGAGGTTTGTCTGTGTAAGAGGAGTTATGGGTTTTCCAGTTGAACAAATTCGTAGTGGTAAAGGGAACATAAACAAATACGGGGTCGGCATGTTGTAACTGGCCTTCACCATTAATGTGTGTCGGGCCCGGTGTCAATCGGAGAGGCATTTGATAATGTCGGGGTTGGAGGGTACCGGTCAATTGTTAGTATGGGGCTTCGTTGAGGAAGGTCAGTTATGGGTTCCGGTCGAGGGGTAGTAAGACGAGGGGAGGGGGACGCTTTTTCTTTACTGAAGGGGAGGTTGGTAAGCAGAATATTCCAGGCCGGGCTGGGAGGAGCCTGACCAGGAACCAGAAATGACATCAAATCCGGATAGGTGGAGTTAGTGGGGGTAGGTACCGGAAGGGGAGGGTTTAGAACAAGTGGGCTGGGCTCTGAGCTAGAGGATGGGGTAGGAGGAGACAATGGGGCAAGGGGAGTGGCATTACTAGCCGCACCTCCTCTTCCTCTTCCTGTAGAGGAGGAGTAAGGGGGCGGTAAAGGAATCTCTGACTCAGGGGGCGTGTCCAGAATGGGCGTGATCACGGCCTTGGTGGACAAACGAGTTCTGGCCAACAGGAGGCGGCATTGCTCCTCTTGGCACACCCTGATCTATTTTGGCAAGTCATCCACGGCCTGTTTCCAACAATCAATATATGGAAACTGGTCGTAAAGTTCCGGCCTACCAGATACAGCTACGTGTACACGCTGCACTAGATTAGGATCAAGACTACCACGTGGAGGCCATGCAACCACTAAGGCAGGCCATTCCCTGCTACATAAAGTAGTCAAACGTGTTGGAGACATCTTTACCCCCAAATCACATACATTATATCCCTTTTTAAAATTCTTTAACATGCAATCTAAGGGATCAACGATCTTTGAATCCAACGCACCCATACTTAACAATGGAGCGTCGTCTCCAATAGAAACAAAACAAAACACACTTCCAACAGTCACACCCGTTTCCCTTGGCAACAGCACCACGTGGCACAGTTACCAGGCCAAACGCACACAACAAATCATACAGGGAATTCCCGTACACACACAGCTGTTACACCACACACTAAATAACTATTACTGTACCTTTTTTGGCGAAATTATACAATTACCCACGCTATAATTCTCAGTATTTAAATTACCCGTCTATAACACACCCTAGTAACATCGTCTTTACAAACAGTAGTTATAGTACGGTTAGCATTGGTTAGAATACAATTTTAAAGTCACAGGTCAGTTAATAGTAGTTATGGTGTTAAACATACAACATAAACGACAGTTATTAGTGATTATTTACAGTATCAGTGATTATAACACATGGTTATGGTACCGTGCGCTATGATACAGTTCCACACTATTCACACTCTCGCTAGACGGCGGAGCTCACGCTACCCAGCAAGATATACACTCTACTATAATAAATTTTAACACATTTACAGTTTCCCAACTAATCTATTGGACAGTACCTCGAGGGACTACCTAAAACTATTTACATCCGTTTTGGTTAGCCGTCGCTGCCCAAGCACCACATATAGCGAACTAGAGGGCGGAATTTACAAGAATACCCTTTTAGTCTATCTACTCTATCTACTCTATCAATAGTCAAATTTACACGCCTTCCCACTTAGCCAAGATAGGTTGAGAACTAGCAAACGATAATGTACACCAGAGTCTGCTTAGTCTCCCGGTCCCTCCGACCTAGCGAACGAAATGTACACCCTAGATACGCTAGTCTAGACAAGACCCTGGTGTCCGGATTGGGCTATATACATTCAACCAAGACCCAGCCTGACTCCATACCAAGATTAGACGGGCTGACTACAGGGCGTCTAATTATGAGCGGTGCGCCTTCGCTCCTTCCCTCCCTGGAGGGGGCCAATTCCATACACAATTCCAATTCAAACCCCTTATGGGCCTACCGCACAATCGGTATCCAATACCCCTAGTGGGTCCACCGTCTAAAACAGTAGTCGTCTTACCTCCTCGTTCCTGAACCTGAGTTCACACTCATCGACGGGGACACCCCAGTACTTACTACGTAGAGGCCGATGATCTCCTGGACAACAGACCAGTGGCACCGAGACGAAGGGAGGTCCACGCAGAAGTTCAGGGGTGCAGCCGTAGAGAACGTGGGCAAAGATAGACCGTCTCACGCCTCTGCTTCCTAGCCACCGTTAACGACGAGCTTCCCGGCCAATGCACCAAAGATGTTACCGGGAAACTGACGGAGGCCAAGCACAGAGAGATGGACACAGGTTTCTTCAGGAAGGAAGAGATCTTTATTCGATTCACCGACCGGGACTCAGAGGGACTTATGTCACCAAAAACAGCAAAGATCTGAGCACTGAATACATAGAGTACATTCCTTATATAGCACTGTAGCTCCTCCCATAATTAGCTACGCCCACACATACCCTTAACCTAATCAATGAATAGAGTCTAAACTCATCCATCCGGTCTAACCACGTGGCTCATCTGAAACAAAGGAGAGGGACGCGTAATTCCAGTTCCTGCATTCCTGCACATGCTCAGTACAGTGATGACAGTATCTTAGCTACGTGTAACTAACTAACTGATACTACAAACACATGTACCTACATATGCCTTGTGGCAATCTTGGCCTGCTAAACTTTTATTTTACTGGAATTCCATCACAGAATCACAGTATAACATCATGGGGTGCAGTGGTAGGCACCTGTGGAAATTTGTTAATCCTGTACATGCCATCAGAAGAGAGGTGTTTTGTGGGCCATACTTGTTTTGTGGGCATTTCTATCTTGACAATCGCTATGTATACTGCAAGGATTTGTTGTATGTTGACAAGTAGGTTTTGGATACCACGTTTAGTGGCCGAAGCAGTATCATCTTTAGTCTGTGGTGCACCCTGGCCAGACGCGGCCAGGACAGGGCTTTGGTGTAGGTCTTCATGGCTCACATGAATAGATAAGGCCTTTGGAGGATTCTGTGCTTTTGCAGGTGGCGGGTGTAGCATTTGGCCTATGTTGTGCCTTTGTAGTGGTTTAAAGAGGCTTGCGAGATCATTGCCCCATCTCTTTGGTGGAAGGAGTAATGGAATGCTGGGCAGCAAGTGCTGCTATACTTCACGCTCAAAGCCCTCCGTAGAGGTCGGATGGGCTCAGCTTTGAGTTTTTGCGATTGATGTGAGAAAGAAAGGCATCTGTGTGTGCAGCAGAGTGCCCTTTGGCTAGTTCAGACTAACCTAACAATGGATTTTGTACGATTAGAGTGATAGGAATGAGATAAGAGTCGGCTAACTTGGAGATGCGTAAAATGGCGACTGCTTTTTTGTGCTGCTAGGCCCCACGACCCAATTTGGTTGAAATTGAAATTCACTATTAATGCTCAATTTAGGTGAATAATCCTGTCAATATCTAAGAAACATAGAATGTGACGGCAGATAAGAACCATTCGGCCCATCTAGTCTGCCCAATTTTCTAAATACTTTCATTAGTCCCTAGCCTTATCTTATAGTTAGGATAGCCTTATGCCTATCCCACGCATGCTTAAACTCCTTTACTGTGTTAACCTCTACCACTTCAGCTGGAAGGCTATTCCACAATTCCCCTTACAAAACACTTACCATAACTTGCCTTTTCCTGAAGTATAACTGAATGCTTATAATGCCTAATAGACATGAATACCTAGCTTAATTATCTCTGTTTTGTTACTTAATTAACAAAACAAAAAACAAGAGGCTGTTATATCTAGGCGTTATCTCCAATGTATCTTAATAACTCCTCTTTTTTCTGTATTGCTTGATACTCGTGCCTCAATAAAGAAAGATTGACAAAACAAATGGGCTGTAAAATATAACATAAAAAATACCTTTATTTTATTCATTAAAATCGCTGCTGGAACTGTACAGCAGGGGGTGCTTACATTACGTTTGGGGTCTCAAAGGCACTTCCTCAGGTCTTGGAGTAAATTAGAAGAGTCCTAAAGACAGGAAGCCTTTAATCATGCCATATTTAACATTTCAGATAGGAAACTTAACAGACTGTAACCAAAATTAATTAAACTAATAATACTTCACAAACTATTGTTTTATATATTGAGATTATACTGGCAGATCTGCTTAGTGTCCTTTAATCCGAGTTAATTCACACAGCTCGTGTTACCCACTGTACCTGTCAGTAAGTGAGCCTGGTATAACTGCAGCCATAGCACATACTAGGTCCTTTCCAAGCTCGGGAACCTTAGAGCGCTGTGTTGTTTCTTTCGGACATATTTATAAACGGACCACCCTTCCAAGATGGCGCTCTCCATAGTGCATCAAGGTGTGAGAGGTTGCAACTCGTTGTGAAGCTGGATTCCGCTCAAAGACGGCCAAATGGGTCTTTGCAGCAAGACCTGGAGGAGGCTGTTTCGTGGGAGCTATTGCTGCAGACCTGCTGTGGGGATCCAGGCTTTGGGGGAACATAAACTCGCTGCATGTGTTGCAAGGAAGAGGAGCAGGGATAAACCAGGACAGTTACTAGATGACAGTGCACAGCCTCGGGATACAGTCACGTTAAAGCTGCCACAATGTAGGAGGGAAGAAGAGACGGAGATAACACCCAGGGTTAATGAACTGTGTAATGAGAGCAGGAATCTGAATGGTGAATTGAGAAAAACTCCACAGAGTACTCTTACAAACGTTTTCAGATCTTGGGAGTGGACTCCTATTAGTAGTAGCTGTTCTCCACTCTGGAGGAAGACTAAACGATCATGCACTGAAGACTGTGGTGGGGCTGTGGTCTTCAGGGAACATAGGATACACCCTACATATACCTGGATTAAAAAGAGAAAACTTGTCGAAATAGTGAAAGGAAACCATTTATTGTCTTTATACAAGCAGAGACTCCCTGTAGATAACAACATCTGTTCTTCCAGGTTTTACTCCCAGATTCATGATGTAGCAAATAGAGCTGAGGGTTCCACAGTCAGAACCAAACCACCTTGGAATGTTATGTTCTTTGGAACTGATGAGTTTGCCATGGAGTCATTGAAGGGTTTAAACAACTCCAGGTATACTTTCTAGGTTGACTTGAGATGCAAGATATGTCCACAATAATTGTAACAGTGGTATATAATTTTGTTCAGTTTTGATCTTTTATTGGTGCAAAGGTTAATCATCAGTAAGCAAACTTATCTTACACAATTTACAATTGACTTGCTCACTTTTTTTTTTAGAACCTGTTTTCAAGATTAATCCGTTGTAAATAATAGAATAAAATCTAAGGGATTTCTTCACTAACGTCCAAATTGTAGAAAATGTAAATCTGTATGGGAAAATTTAAGCTAAAATAGTTAAGCTGTTACTATCTGGGTTTGAGAATGTTACAGATCATTTACCTAAATTTGATATCAATTCACTACAATTTAGACTTCAATGAATAAACATTTCAATATCTGATGTGTTTCGGAAATAACAAAATCCTGTATTTGTAAAGTTAGCTACATAATGCTGAAAATAACATTTCATACATTGTCTTTTGTTGGTTTAGGAATGAGACACAGGATCCAGTAGTTGGGAGGCTAGAGGTAGTTACGTTGCCGTCTTCTCTGCCAAAGGGAGTTCCTGTAAAAAACTATGCAGCAGGCCATGGAATTACAGTACATGAATGGCCCCAAACGGGCAGTTGTGATCAATTTGATGTTGGTGTAGTGGCATCCTTTGGACGACTTCTCAGTGAGGAACTTATTTTAAAATTTCCCTAGTAAGTCCATTTTGATTTTTGTATTTAGGTTAATAGGCTTTTCTTTACAAGCCCGGTCTCACCATACATGTTTGTTTTAGTGGCATATTGAATGTGCATCCCAGTTGCCTACCCAGGTGGCGTGGCCCAGCTCCAATAGTACATACAGTGCTGAATGGGGATGAGAACACTGCTGTCACAGTTATGCAGATAAGACCAAAAAGGTACATTTGTTTCATGACCATGTTTATGTTTGCAATCCACAAAATTCAAACTATAACATCTAGGATATTATCAAGATAAAATGCACAAACTTTAATTGATTGTATCTGTTTAGCAAGTCGAAAGTGATAGCTCACCATGCACTTACTTGCAGTCATGTATGGGTAATTCTTTTATTATTTTCTAAAACCTTGCTTTCAGCACATATTATTGATTTGGTACTATGTCTCTTTAAAATATCCATATATGAGGAAAGAGGATTTTTTTTATTTTTTAGAGCTCTATTTTATATAATTATGTTAAGTGCAAATCTGTCTGTTTTGTACTAATTGTTAATAAATGGGCACTATTTTATTTAGATTTGATGTGGGACCTATAGTGATGCAGAAGAAGTTTCCTGTTCCTTCAATGTGCACTTCTAAGGACCTAGAAGCTGTCCTGTCTAAACATGGCTCTGAAATGGTAGTTGAAAAAATATTAATTATGGAATTCTAGAACATAAGCATTGACAACCCTAAGTAATTTTTTTTCCCCTTGCTTCCATAGCTAATTTCTGTTCTGAAGAACTTACCCAAGTGCTTAAAGTATAGCACTGAGCAGCCAACAGAAGGAGCAACATTCGGTATATTTTATTTATTTAAAAATGTAATACATATTATACTCCAAAATCTCTTGCTTCTGGTGGTGGAATAGCACACAGCTTTCCAAGTATCACTGTTGTCCAGATTTCCACTTGATAACGTGAAAGTGCCTTTTCCACATTATCAGCATGCTGCAGAAGTGGGCAGGCTATTAGTGTCAGAGAGAACCCCAGTTTTAGTCATATATCACTTTGAAAAAGTTGTACAGAAAATTAGGGGAAATGCTCATAGAACAATTTCATCATAATCACTACAACGAGCTACAGTGGTTATGGTGTATAGAGTGCTTCATTAAAATGTAGATATATCTTGTGTACAGTTATTAGACCTGTTGCAACATACTGAAACTACAAAGTAAGTGTAAATCTTACAAAACAAAATCATAGAATTAAACAGCACTGTACTGTAGAACAGGGAAACATGGTTTAAACAAGTTGACATACAGTTAAGCAAGCTTTACGTGAAATGCAGGGATGTTACTAGGTGACATAAAGACCAAGGGCTTTAGTCCAACAGGACCTGCACTTTCAAGCTTACAACTGAGGCTCTAGTGTGAAGTAGGTGGTGTTTGTGACAAAATGTAAGGTATTACTCAGCAAAGGATGATCCACTTAGTTATGGCTAAGATGGGACCATGCAAAGCAGTCACTTGCCTGCATGTTTTGTGTAGCAGACTCTCTATGGTGGTAGGTGGTATTTTAAAATGGTACATTGGTAACTAATTAGTATAACTTGGCAAACTAGACCTAATGCCTGCTTTATATGGGAAATATAGGTGTAAAGTTAGTATGAATTTCACTATTTTGTTAAAACAATTGAAAATGTAAGACCCTAAAACAAATCTGTTGTTTTCCAAGAAACATAATCCAAATACAGCTTTAATTTTGGACTGCTATGGCATTTTCCAAACTCCTAATTGTGAGGTGTTATCAGGGCCAGATTAAGAGCATAGTGGGCCTGGTGATGACAATTATGATGGGCCTAATTACATAGTCTTATCGACCAATAACACGAAAACAGTCCTACCTCCCAAGCGTCATGTATCTGATGGAGATGGTGCTGGAGGAAAACTCATAGGATGCAGCTATGAGAAAAAACATACCCTATGTTTATCTCATGCTTTCATGTAAATTCATACACTCTAACAGCAGTGTCTAGTGAAGCAGGAAGTCTATGGACAGGATAAAAGGGTGGGCCACTGGCGCAAATCACGTAACCACAACTGCCGAAAGGGGCGAACATATCCAAAAAGGGGGCATGTCTATGTCTCCCAATGTTCCTTAGTGTCTATGTCACTGTCACTAGGGGACACTGAGAGACATGGGAACACTGGGTGACTTTGAGATAGGAAGGGACACTGGGAGCCATGGGGCACTGAGACACTATGATACATAGGGGTCACTGGAGACTTGATAAAGACCTGGGTACAGGTCAAAACATTGCGGTGTCCAATAAACCTGCTTAAATCTATCACAGTGAGTGTCTGAGATGTTTTCTTTAATACTAGGGGACACAGACACTTGGGGGCACTAGGATTCTAGGTGACACCAAGACACCAGGGACACTGGGAGACCTGGAGCACTGAGACATGGGGGACACTGGAGACTTGATAAAGACCTGGGTAGAGGTCGACACGTTGCGTTGTCCAATAAACCTGCTTAAATCTATCACAATGAGTGCCTGAGGTTTTTTCTTTTATATTAGGTGACTCTGGGAGACTAGGAAACACTGAGACACTGGCACACTATGGAAGCTGAGCGACATGGGGACACTGGCTGGGAGACATTGGGAAACTGGGACTGCCCCATGTCTCCCAGGTCTCAAAGTCGCCCAGTGTCCTATAGTGTCTCTTAGTCTGTGTCCCCATGTCACTAGGGAACACTGTGAGACATGGGGTGTCCCAGTGTACCCAAGTTTCTAACCGTCCTCTAGTGTCCCCTAATGTCCCCAAGTGTCCCTATGTGTCTTTGTCTCAGTGTTCCCCAAGTGTCCCTTTGTCTCCCAGTGTCCCCATGTCTCCCTGCAGCCTTTCCCCTCCCATCCCTCACTTAACTGAGCTGTAGGCTGTCTCTGCAAGCTTGGAGCTGCTGTCTGGACTGTCTGTGCTGAGCTGCTCCCCTGTGGATCAGTTAGTAGAGAGAGGGAGATGCTGTAACTTCCTATTCCTGCACACACAGCGACCCCTACTGGCGGGAGCTGATATTGCAGAATAATCTGTTTACACTGACATTTGTATTGCTGGTATTACTGCAATACCGGCACCGGCTAGGCAGCCTCAAATACCGGAGAAATGGCAGCCAGGTGTAAGGAAGTGTGTAAAATAAAAAAAGGGGGGGGAATTTTTATTTTATATCAATGGGCCTATTCCATGTGCCTGGAGCTGCAGTTCCATCAGCCTCTATGTTAATCTGGCCCTGTGTGTTATTCATGTTGTCCTACTTTATCTTTTCTGACTTATCTCTTCTAGCATGCCAACTTATTTTTTTATGGGCATACTCTATTTACTATAATTTTCCTTATGATATATATGCATTCTTCACTGGATTTTTTTTTGTCCTCTCATTTATATTGTAGCCCCCAAAGTTTCTGCACCCATGAGCTGCGTGAGGTGGGAAGAACAGCGCCCAGAGGACATTTTACGCCTAGAGCGTGCGATTGGATTTGCAGTAAGGAACCAACAGTATATGACATCAATGTTCTCTGATACAACTGTATGGTTATTCAAGACTGACAAAGGATCAACCAATGTCCTACATACCAGCTTGATTAGTTGCATTAGGTTATTTTACTGGCTCTTATACGCTTAAAAGAACACTGTGGAAAGGAGTGATCAAGCCTTAAAGTTCAGATAAAGATGCTGCAATTCTCTACCCTGTTTACTTTTATAGAGCACAAAATAGACAAAAAAAAAACACACCATATATATATATATATTACACCCCCCATTCCTCCTGGACTTTTCTCAAGACAAGTGCCAAGTGCCAGATAACTTATATATATACACACAAGCTGTGAGATAATCTGTGGGTGAATAGGTGAGAGCAAGACTGGTGATGTCAGAGATGTCGTTGTCATACCAAATTTAACCATGTGAGTGTAGGTAAGAAAAAAAAATATACAAAGAAACAATTAGCTCTATAAGATATAAGTGGAGACCAAGTAAGAAGAAGACTGGATCGACAGAAAGTGGGGTGAGTTATGTGAGAACAGAAATGATCAAAGAGCATAATTCAGTGATAGTTTCAGTCATAAAAAGGAGGCGGCCTCTCACATTAACAGGCATAATTAATTGCAGTGTAGATTATATGAATATTGCATACAAAATGTGAGATTCCTCCTTTTTGTGACTGAAACTATCACTGAATTATGCTCTTTGATGATTTCTGTCCTCACATAACTATCACCCCATTACATACAACCGTTATCTGGCACTTAGCAGTTGTCTTGAGAAAAGTCCAGGAGGACTGAAACATTGAGGTTTATTTGTGCTAAATAAAAGCATTTCTACTGTACTACTATAGTCTCCAGAGTGCACTTAACTTCTTTCCTAAACTATGGCTGGAGTTGGCACCGGAACATCATTAAAGACTGGGAACTAGAGTGCTTGGATCGTGGAAATTTTATATATATATATATATATATATATACACACAAATTTGTGGTCTGTACCCAAAGGCCATAACATAGAAGTAGTATGTGGTGTGCGGACACAGATATAGCGGTAGGCCTGTAAAATAAAGAGCGCCAATCTATGAAATATGTGTTCAGAAATTGGGAGTGGAGGGAGGAGTGACGTGACAAGCAGACCACGATATGCCAAATGGAGGAGGGTTCTGTAACTAGCTAGACTATCCCCTCCCACAACATCAGGCTCCCACCTTTACATATGTGTTTATATTTTATATAAACTCCCTGTTCTAAACCTTTATTATACTGCTCAAAAATAAATAAAAGGAACACAAAAATAAAATATCCTAGATCTGAATGAATGAAATATTCTTCTGAAATACTTTGTTCTTTACAACATGTGTTGAATGTGCTGACAACAAAATCACACAAAAAGAAAAAAATGGAAATCAAATTTTTCAACCCATGGAGGTCTGGATTTGGAGTCACACTCAAAATTAAAGTGGAAAAACACACTACAGGCTGCTCCAACTTTGATGTAATGTCCTTAAAACAAGTCAAAATGAGGCTCAGTAGTTTGTGTGGCCTCCACGTGCCTGTATGACCTCCCTACAACGCCTGTGCATTCTCCTGATGAGGTGGCGGATGGTCTCCTGACGGATCTCCTTCCAGACCTGGACTAAAGCATCTGCCAACTCCTGGACAGTCTGTGGTGCAACATGATGTTGGTGGATGGAGCGAGACATGATGTCCCAGATGTGCTCAATTGGATTCAGGTCTGGGGAACGGGTGGGCCAGTCCATAGCATCAATGCCTTCGTCTTGCATGAACTGCTGACACACTCCAGCCACATGAGGTCTAGCATTGTCTTGCATTAGGAGGAACCCAGGGCCAACCGCACCAGCATATGGTCTCACAAGGGGTCTGAGGATTTCATCTCGGTACCTAATGGCAGTCAGGCTACCTCTGGCGAGCACATGGAGGGCTGTGCGGCCCCCCAAAGAAATGCCACCCCACACCATTACTGACCCACTGCCAAACCGGTTATGCTGGAGGATGTTGCAGGCAGCAGAAAATTCTCCACGGCATCTCCAGACTCTGTTACATGTGCTCAGTGTGAACCTGCTTTCATCTGTGAAGAGCACAGGGCGCCAGTGGCGAGTTTTCCAATCTTGGTGTTCTCTGGCAAATGCCAAACGTCCTGCACGGTGTTGGGCTGTAAGCACAACCCCCACCTGTGGACGTCGGGCCCTCGTGGAGTCTGTTTCTGACCGTTTTAGCAGACACATGCACATTTGTAGCCTGCTGGAGGTAATTTTGCAGGGCTCTGGCAGTGCTCCTCCTTGCACAAAGGCGGATGTAGCGGTCCTGCTGCTGAGTTGTTGCCCTCCTACAGCCTCCTCCACATCTCTTGATGTACTGGCCTGTCTCCTGGTAGTGCCTCCATGCTCTGGCCACTACACTGACAGACACAGGAAACCTTCTTGCCACAGCTCGCATTGATGTGCCATTCTGGATGAGCTGCACTACCTGAGCCACTTGTGTGGGTTGTAGACTCTGGTTAATGCTACCAGTAGAGTGAAAGCACCGCCAGCATTCAAAAGTGACCAAAACATCAGCCAGGAAGCATAGGAACTGAGAAGTGGTCTGTGGTCACCACCTGCAGAACCATTCCTTTATTGGGGGTGTCTTGCTAATTGCCTATAATTTCCACCTGTTTTCTATCCCATTTGCACAACAGCATGTGAAATTGATGGTCACTCAGTGTTGATTCCTCAGTTTGGTTTCACAGAAGTGTGATTGACTTGGAGTTACATTGTGTTTAAGTGTTCCCTTTATTTTTTTAAGCAGTGTATATTTTGTAATAGTCCATCTGCTCATTGTGACCATTTATTTTTCAACAGATGCCATTGCAGACGGTATGGATGGGTTCTTCAATTAAACTCATCAACTTTGTGGAGGTTCCTTCTGCATTAAACATTCAAGGTCAGTATAGTTCAAGGTGTCTTTACACTACTGCACTGTAAACCAATTCTAATTAAAATTGCCATATTTAACGTCTTAATTTCTGTGGATTTTTACCACTTATCTTCATTTTTGTCACCTATATTTTCCAGCATGAAATATTTCCCTCCCTATGCATTTTTTTTCCTACATGTTTTATTATTTTCGAGTTACAGAAGAGGTAAAAGAATGTATGAATGGGAAGCGGGCCTACTATGTGAAAGTATCTTTATTCTAAGCCTTCTGTAGAGTTAAGAATTTTTCTTTGCAGTACTCTTAAACATAAACAAGGAAGCCATCTTTAGTAACTTTTGTTGTTTGTTTCAGATTTCAGACTTTTTTTTTTATTTCTGGATAAGCTTTTCAAGTGATTTAATTGTATTGGATACACTCAAAATTACTTTTTTTCCCACAATATACTATCAAAATATTAAAACATTTTCAAAGTTTATCCAAACATATATCAAGACCTTTATTAGAAGACTGCAAATAGCACTTATCAAAATGGCAATAGGAAGGGAACGTACACAATAGATAGAAGTAATGATATGTTAGGATTAAAGTTCCTTTCATATTTCATTTGCCATGACTGAATACTTTAGCTTAGGTATGTCAAACTCAAGGTACAAGGGCATCATCAGAACTAATATATTGCCCACAACACTAAAAGGACATGAATGTTTCAGACAACGGTCTCATTCAAAGGCTTTGTGTCTGTAAAGCATAATACTGTTTGTAATTGGCAGCATGTGCAGCTTGATGCAATTAACCACGTGCTGTATACAAAAAATATTAAGGTGTCACATACTGCAGATGACAGTTTTCTGTATAAAAAGGAACCTTGCAAATGATTGGTACTTGGCCTGTAATGCACTCCCAGAGGCACAAAACAATTTATAACACAAAGCCTCATATTTTACTATACAGATTATTCTCTGTGGTCTTATAGTTGTGCCTAGACACCATCATTCCCACAGTGTTTTTCATTTGTAACTGTGCCAGAGATTACTATAGCCCCCTTTTCATTAATTACCCCCATCCTTTTTTTTTTTTTTTTTTAATTTCCAAGAAAGAAAGGTAAATCTGGTTTGGAGGGAAAAACCACAATGTTCATTTAGAAACATAAGAGATGCAGTCATCAGTAGACAGATCTAGCTGTATCCACATATACTCAACCTAGTAACTCAATCCCCCCCACACTCACCCTCATACACAAAACACACATTAAGACCCCACCCCATATATAGTAAATGTATACACATTTATTACATACTATTGTGTTTTATATTCCTGTAGAAAAGGTTGATGTGCCTGGTTCTATTCGATACTTGCGAGGGCCAGAGTTACTGATTGTACGATGCAAGGTACGTGTTCTGGATCAATGCCAATATGTAAATGTGCATACAGTTCAATATTGCAGAGCTTTTGACAGTGTAAGATGCACATTTATTTTCCCAGTAGGGAAGTCTTATTTATTTAGAATTAAACAATATAATGTAAAAAAAAATTAAATTGTATCATATCAAGGGCTTCCTTGTTGACGAATGTTAACATTTATATTTGAAGTTATATCATTAAGCAGGTAACTGGTAAGTAAAGTGGTTCTGTCCGAAATGCTAACATCTGGCTTTATTTGACAGGATGGCTGGGTTGGAATTAAAACAGTAATTTTAAAGAAAAAATTGTCTGCCAAGGACTTCTACAATGGGTATCTGCACCAGTGGTTTGTACAGAAGCCAAGTGTTCAGCTGGAGACATGCAGGTTTCACACACTGTACCTGCCCCCCAAAGTCAAGGTTTCCAAACCGAAACAAGCATCGCTGAGAAATACAGTACGGTGATGTTATGTATTCTTGCACTCAATGGCTAACTGGAGATATTCAACTAAATGCAGCTTTTGGAAGAGAGCACTTACATGCCCTGGTTCATGGTGGAAATTGTCACAATTGCAGGAAAATGCTACAAGACAAATGAACATTTCATACACAACTCTTAATATAAAATATAATTTTACTTAAAATATCAGGGATTAACAATCTGCTAGTGTGCACATTTAAGAAGGGATTGCCAGGAGCTACAGTATTAAAATGCTGCCTCTCCTAAACCAGATAGACCATGGACATGTTGATTATTTCGTGTTGACACCCAGAGAAATCAGATGCAATATGCTATTTGGGAAGCTGTTTTAAACAATTCATCTGGAGTTTAAGTAAGTAAACATTTTTATTTAATAAAAACATTTTTGCAAATCAGCATTGTGATCAAAGATCTGTTTTAAATTCCATAAAAATATATTGTAAAACAGCAGTCCTGCTGGTTTAAATATTAAAATCAAGAATTGCTCATGTGAGACTCAATAGAACAACTTGATGATGTAGATGATCAGGAAATGATCTAGGTAAGTAAATGCAAATACAGGGCATACCATTTATAGGAAACTGTGCTTTAAAACAAGCACACATTGTTCTGTGTAATCAGTTTGGCTGCTCCAGTAACGTCAGGATGGCTTTACCAACGGCAGGTACCACTGGAAGAAGAGAGTGAGAGGTAAACACGGTTCTTCATATAAGTCAGGGTAAAAGATGATGTTGGAAGCCATTTGCATTATTGACCAAAATAGGCAGATTACATCAGTATTTTCTACTCCTTGTCAGGTAGACAATCTGGTGCTCTCCATATGTAATTGGACTTCAAATCCCATGACTTAGTCCACCAACAGCTGGGAAGCACTAGTTGGTCTTCCTGACTAGTGGGAGAGAATACATATGGCAATGTGTGTGTTTATGTCAAGAGGCTGATCAGTTGCCCCCAACAACTTGGAAGCCACGGTTGCCCACCCAAAGAACTGTTCAAAACAATCCCTCTGGAACCATTTATTCACATTAACATGTACTGCAGGGGGTTTCTGGTGAAAGGGACCTGGCTGTAAGCAAGGACTACACGCTTGTTTCAGAGCATAAAATCAGTAAATACAGTTTCAAAAATCAATAAAAACACTTAAATAAAATATACAGTACATGCATTTGACTAATCAGTTAAGACTATAATTAAGGTAATTTACAGGTAAACGTTGAATTATATGTGATGGGGATTTTAAAACCATGAGTCTCCAAAGAAAACGAAGAGGTGCCACCAAGACCAAAAAAAAAACCAATAAATCTATAGAAACTAGGTATAAGATTAGAAAAAAATTGTTTAAGTAAACTGTGGACTAAAGATAGAATTTATTTTTCAAACTCCAGTGTTCATGGTATGTTTAGTACACAGTGTCCCTTATAACAATAGTTCAATGCTGTTATGACAACAAAGGCATTTAACATATTACATAGCCAAACATTCATATTAATTTAAAATAACTTACATTTATTTCTGGGCAGTATTTGTGTATTCATAAGTAATTAGGATAATGGTACTAGAGTACCAAGTTAGGAAATAAAATTACCTCTTCAGTCATTCCAGCAGATTTCCTGCCTTCAGAATTGAAAGGTGGTTTCAGATATCCTTTGAAATATAATGGTACCAGCTCATGGAACGTGGATAAGCAATCCTTACAGAAGAAATAAGTATCATTATGCAATTAATACAATATATTACAATGAGCTTATGAAAGAGTTTTTAGTTAAACTGTGCCTAGGATGGAACTGCAGCTAGAAGTGAAAAAGACTCAATGTAGAAAATATTGGTGAATCAAGTTTCAATACATCCTAACTATGCAGAGATAAAACATTGTTTGGGTGTATTGACACATTCTAACATCTTGGCTTGAGCAGGGTTAAAACTGCTCACATCACAGAGTCCCAGGTATCAATCGATATCTGGGGCACCGCTCTACCAGCTGGGACTATTTTCAATGGCCCCTGAATGACATGTGAGCTATATGCAATGTTCAAACCGAGCAATGCATACAGCTCTTTAAACTGGGATATATATCCCCATGGACCGCAATGCGGCGTGAGCAGGGTTAAACCAATAGATTCCTGGGGCTCACCTCTGGCTGCTGGGGCCATTTCAGAGCTTAGCGTATCGAAGGTGTTTTCTTATAAATGCATGCTGTGAATTTCCCTTCAACACCACTAGATACAATACACTAGGTAGATATGACCGTTTTAGTGCTTTTTATCTATAAGTTATTGTAATTCGGTCCCTCACAATTGTAAGCACTAGGCCCAAGAGGTTCTCTACTAATGTCATATAAAAAAAATCATTAGAACTGTTAAACTAATCTATACATTATGCTACCCAAATGTTGCGTGCGTATGATGGTGTTATTAAATCTTTATTTAAGTAATTTGGTCCCAGTGGGAAAACCACTGCTAAACAGTTTGCCCAATTACTGGGGATCCAGGCACGAGTGCTCCTAGAGATGAGCAGACCTGGAGAAACAAAAAATGGAAAAATTGTTTTCCATTGCTTCAAAATTACCGGAATATGTAAATCTCTAGGCACTCCTCACATCATAACCACTACAGCAGGCTACAATCCTACAGTAACAGTACAGTAAGTCCACCCATTGTAAAGCGCTACAGAATTTGTCCTAATAGAGATGCATTTAATCAGTGCATTTCTATGGGGAAAGTTCAGCGTCTCCATGCAGAGTGCAGATCTGACCCAGGAAGCACTTCTATCTGAGGAGTGGCCACTAGAGCTGTTCTTACGCTGTAATGTAACCACTGCCTTTTCTTCGAATAGGCAGTGTTTACAGCAAAAAGTCTGTAGGGACTGCCTATAGTGTCCCTTTAATTATTTCTAGAGTGATTACTAAATACGTATTATTACTGGTATGTGAACTTTTCAAATAGTTTTATTTCAGTATGAATGTTTAGTAGCCAGCAGCAGTTGTTACATAGTTGGAAATGTGATATTTCTCATTGCTTTCTGCAAAGCAAATAATTATTCTAGGGACTCCATGAAACTTGGATTACATCAGTGCATTTCTCCAAGCCATACCTTCTGCTCCTTGGTACAGATATATGTAAACCATTTCAGCCCCGCAGCCACATGAGTGATTTCATCTGTGTAGATCACTTCAAGCACTTTGACAGAGTACTCGTCCCCCTGGGCTGAGAATCTCTGAAGGGTCTGGGGGTGGACATCTAGACCTCTAGGAGACATACAAATATGGAGGTGGAACAGAATAAGAAATGGGATTAAAGCTAGACAGCAACAACTACCACAATGCTTAAAATGTTTTTTTATAACCAACACCTGTACCACAAATTTTTAAATGTGAATTGAGCACCATAGTATTCTTTTTTTTTATAAATAGACAAATAATTTGAAAAGTTTTTCCAACAGTACTGAAGCATTTGGAAAGCCTATTAAATCGAGGCCTATGTTATAAAATATAAAGAAACAAGAGTGGTATTATTTGCTACCCTCATAAGGAACTCTTAGTAGCTACAATACTTATGCAATAAAAATTATTCCACTTTAAATCCAATTCTTCATAAAAATAAAACTGATGCATGGGGGCCCTAGAGCAAGAATCTAGAAGCAGCATGCAACAGGTAGCACAGCTGCAACAGAAGGTACAGTCCTTACGGCAACAGCACCAAGCCTTTGAAAAAAGATTTGCTGCACTGAAGAATGCCCGACGCAGAAAGAATCTTAAGGTCCGCGACACCGGACACGATACCAGAGGCACAATGCTACCCCCCAAACAGGCAAAAGCAGCTATCCTAGAAGGCATGTTCCGGATACCTAAACTGGCGCAGGCCCCGGACGCAGCATCCATGGACCTGATAGTGCGGTTCCAGAGAAGGGCGCAGTACTCAACGCAATTCGAGGTCAATATGCCTATCTATCGGGGGCACTATGGCTTGACGTAGGTCCCTCAAACAGTTTACCACCCTCCTGCGCACACATCACATATCCTAGCGGTGGCACATGTCACACACCCTGATGGTGCTCCATGGAGAAGCCTCCTACCCCATCAGGAACCTACAGAAGGCAAAAATTACTTCTTGGAACACTGGGACTCTCGACAGACTCTCTACGCCTTTCATGACCGCAGCTTGCCTCTGCAACCCATGCCTGGGATCCGGCAACTATCGCCCCATTTGTGCACACTACACACAACATTAGGCACTATAACATACACAATTTGTTTTATTTTATGGAGTTAGATTCTACCCCCACAAGGATGGTCCAGACTACTGACCACGCACAGATAACAGATCTACAACCTAAAAGCGCTGCACCAGTCTTACCGCACTCAATTGCTGAATATCTCCTACTCACCAAGTACGACTAATTAACGCTGCGCACGTGTCACTACTCGTCTGCAACTCTGCATAGTACCTATAGTTTCACTTCCCCAAAAACAAACAAAACGGTGAGACTCTATACTTATGTTTCCCAGACCAGGTATAGGCTGACTAATAGGGGGCCATCGACCGGCAGTTCCCCCTCAACAAGAGGCTTAGGATCACACACTTGTTTGCATGTTTTATTTTAATTTGAGCCTGTTGCCATTTGAATTTATTTTAACACGTGTTACCCCTAGCGCTGTAAGGATGGATAATTTAATTGACTCACGCGAGAACGTGACACCTGTTATTCTTAAAGAGTGAATCTATGCCATTATACATGTCTAGAATTTACAACCTGCTACTAACTTATAATTAACCATGAGACACTTCCCTGGACCAGGGAATCGGCTGACTGATATTGGGTCATGAACCTGCAGCGCTTCTCCTTAACAGGAGGTTTAATATCACATGCTTATAATGACTATCTTGTATACATCTTCAGGTTTTATTTTAATTTGGGCCTGTTGCCTTTTGATTTTATCTTAACAAGTGATGCCCCTGGCATGCGAGTAAGTGATGCTTGTTCATCTTAAAGAGTGAATTTCTGCCATTATTCATATATAGAATATACAACATGCTACTCACTTATATTTAACCTTGCATGTCTCACTGGATTACTAATTTTTTTTTAAAAAGCGCGGTTACTCATGCCATGTTGTGCGTTAACTTTTACCCTGAAATTTCATGCTTTGTTTACCACCAAATGTCACTGTCAATCTGTGTAAGTTTCTTCGTACACTCAAAAATAAAGCATGTAAAAAAAAATAAAACTGATGTTTACAACTGTTAATTTATGATACTATTGTTGTCATTTTACTCTACTTGGTAGTCCGGTGTTTAAACCTATATCAGTGCTTCAGTGGTGGTGATTAGCTTTACCTTGCTTCATGGACCATATGCACAATAGCTAACCGTGCCAGGAGATCATGTGCTGTGTCTGCAGCAGACTGCCACAAGCCTAGGAGAACACAACAGAGATCACATTATACACATATACAAACAGAACATTTATATAAACCTACTTTTCAGAAGGCATACACTTGCTTTTTCTTTTTAGAATTAAACAAACTGATATTCATTATAAAATATTTAAAATGACATTACATGTGCTTCTTTTCCATTACCAAACATCTTGCATTGCTCTTGTTTTTATCAAACAAAACAGCAAAAACACACAGCACAAAAAGTATCCAAAGGGATTCAGGCCTGTCAAGATATAGAATAGATATGTACCCCTGAACAATAATACTGACTTGTAGTAAGGAATTGTGCTGTGCACGAAAAATAACTCATAATTCCTGTGCCAACATCATTTCTAATACAGGGCTGCATGGAGGAGTTTAAAGAGTATTTTAATTCAAAAATATCTGAATGGAAGCAAATCTGCAAAACATGCTTGGAGTTTAAATATGTATGAGCTCCTTCCAAAGGTCAGGTTGTCTAAATTTCACTGTGAGCAAAAATTACTTTGCAACTGAATGATGATACCCAGTAAGGAAAACCCATTACAGATGGTATATGGATCCCTCCCGTCCTCATAAAATTTTCCTTAATACGCCTTCTGTATGCTGGAGATGTGGCCAAGCAGAAAGCAGTGTTTTACATATCTGGTGGACCTGTTGCAAGATTATTCCCTTCTGGAAATCTATAAATTCATCAATCCAAGAAATCACTAATGTAGTTCTTCATTTAATGCCCTCACCTATTTATTGCTTGTATTTCCCATCATCTACCTTAGAGTGGTTACAAAACTACTTCTACATATTATCCAAAAGGGACAACAATTGTTAGCCATAGCATGAAAATGTCTGACACGTGGTGTTTAGCAGCGTCGTCTAATAAGAAAAAAAAATCTATATACAAGCCTAAGTTTACAGCTGTCTCTAAACCAAGTAGGGTTGACGCATAGGTGTGGGATATGAAGCTTTCTTGGAGATTAGGAGCGGGACAAAGTTTGTCAATCATATAATACTAACCAAAACATGGATTGCAAAATTAGGTTGATATGTAACCTATGCTGATATTGAGATGTATAAGAAGTAAAATTACAATCATTATTGAGGGAACCCCCCAGTCGAACACTGATGCATTGCCATGTCTGTTGTGGTCTGCACTGATGTATATTTACAGATTCTTATTTCAATATGTAATGTGATGTATAATAATGGCACACAAGCTTTGTACTAATATCCCCCTTTTACTCCTTCTGTAACTTTCCCTCCCTAATATGTTAAAGATAATTAGGAAAAGTGTTAAAAAAAAATTAATAATGCAAGAGTGACACTTGCCAGGGCATAATGCAAAACACAGGTGATTTTTTTTTTTTTTTGTAGATGCATGGCTTTTACAAAACATGAACCAGTTCCACACTCTTTTTCCACACTATTTTTCATCCCCTTCCAAAAGTAAAATGAGCAACCTAGAAGGGAACAAACACCTGAACATTTGTGAAATACCCAACAACTTTTTCTCAGTCAACTGATTGAACAGAGTGAATAAACTCTTAAGCAACTGTTAAAAGAACACTTTAGGCACTTTAACATCCTAATCTCCAAAATATAATATTTTAATCATTTGAAGGCTGATAAAATCAGCTTAAAGCCACAACTCCAAGCCTTCTCTCATACCCAGGCATGCCCTCTTTTTAGATTTTACACTACACACGTGGGGGCCTTAAAACTAACTAGGGACGGGAGACTATAGGGTTAGGAATACAGGCTTGCTTTTCTAATGCTATAGTGTCCCTTTAATCTGCATAACAATGTTTTTGTGATATACAGGACAATATATAGCTGACTCCACTAGGAAATATAGCAGACTGTCATAAGGAAACAAGCAACCAGCACGTACCGTTGTGCACAGGAAGTGCACCAAAGTTACTTCCCAGTTCTAACAGACGCTTCTCCAACAATCGATAATGCTAGTCAAAAGAAAAGGGTCCAGGGTCAGTTGGATAATATCTGAGTGCAAAATCACATTAGGAGGCAAATTAACCCACAAAATCTCATTAAATGAACACTCCAAACACCTAAAGCACTTTAGCTTGCTGAAGTTCTTTTCTATCATTTTACAAAAGGTGGCAATTTCAATAGAAATGGTAGTGGAGTGTCCATTTAAAAATACAATATTCTTAAAAGAGTAATAAAATAAAGAAAAAAATGTCCATGCATCATGGTACTTATAGACTTTACATAGTAAGGATTTATACAGACATCAGTTTTATCTAAATGACTTTGCTTGTGTTGCAGATAAAAAGAATATGATGGCAACTTGCAAAAACAAACCCTCTTTTTAAGATATACTGCAAATATAACACACATTTTTAGTTTTCTTTAAATAATTTGACCAGAAACATGCAAACTTTTAGTGTCTTCAATGCCCAGCTGGGTTAGCACCTGCTCTCCATAGTATTATGAACCATTGCTTTTCATTACAGTGTGGATAAACTATAGTGAATACTGAATACTGCATGAAATTAAAACATTGGCACCACAATCTACAACCAATTAAAAGGTGGATGCCTTAGTTATAACCTATAACCAAAACCTCACATGCACTAAAAAGAAAATTCCTAGGACTTTTGAAATGTTTACTTAACAAATAAGGTCTGTAAGGTCTGAAAAAATAAAACCAATTGTAGAAATTAGTGACTTGTCTTTTCTCCCTGACAAACCATGTAATAATGTTTTGGCCTATTGCCAATTATTCATAATGAAGGGGTTATTCTAATTTAAAGTGGTCATGGTGCCTGGAGTCTGTTTGTGTGCAGGGTTTTGCTTTGTGATGCTGCACTTCATGAGATTAACCTGAGTTGAAAGAGATGTAACTTCATTGGAGCATTACCAGCCAGCCCGTAACAAGAGTGCACAGAATTGCGTTCGTTGGCAGTAATTGGTCAGCTGATGCTCTCAGCCTATGAGTAATGAATGGCAATGGGATCGGTTTGAGAGCTGCAGAACCTGGCTGCACGTCACCATAGTAAGAAGGACCATCGATGCTTGGGGAGGATCCAAATAAAAGGGCAAACTGATGCAAAACAGTTTGCAACATTAACAGGAAATGTGGCCAGGGTACTCCAGAACCCTATATTGTTTATGATGCTCGAAGAAACCCTTATGATTTTCACTCATTTTAAGTATATTGAGAGTCAAACAAACATGCTACTCATTCGATCATTTTTGGATTCTTGGATGGATGACAACCCAGATTGGCCTGTCTATAACTACAAACCTTTGCTTCATCTCCAGCAACTTTAACAAAATCTGAGAAGAATTCACGTGGCAGCATCTCCCCAGTGCGCAGCTGGAAACCAGCAAAGCGAGCAATGATATCCCAGGATAGGTCTATTGCCCACTGCTCAATGTTAGCCAGAGAGTGCAGCAAAGCAATCCTACTGGCCTAGGAACACAAGAAAGAATCATTAGTTTAATGTGATCATGTTATACCTGCAATAATAAAAAAAAAAACTAAAAAAAAAAACTTGGGTAAATTATTTTACAAGTAGAAAATTACAAATATTTATATCAGCATCTGACAAAATGATCTCAAATTTGTTCATGAGTCAGAAAAGGAAATGTATGATTGTTCTTTTTTTCAGCCACACAAATCTCACCAGTGTTCCTCCCTTCCCTCTCTTGATTTTGCCTGGCTGCACTATGGTCAGATTCTCCTTTCTACATGGCTGAGCAGGTGGTAGAGTTTGCCCAATGTCTGAAATGTTTCCTGAGTTCCACAGTTCTTGTACTTGATGTGTGAGTTTCGCCTGAGAAGGATATACATGTATGTAATTAATATATATTACTACAGTCCTATGAGTTCTAGAACGTCACACGCACCTTACCTTCTCTTCTGGATCAGCCGTGCCAAGTATTCTGCTGGCCCAGTAACATAAAGACTCTTTGTCCGTACATGGTAAAAGCTTTACGGTTTCCATAGCAGCTATAAATAAGACCATACACCATAATCAGTAACAATAATTGCATTTAAAAAATAAATAAATAAAATAAAAAAATCAACAACAATTTTAGTATCAGTGCAAGAGTATTACCAGTACCCTGACCACTAAAAGATAAAGACAAGAAATAGTAATAATACAAAAACAAAGATCTATAGTAATTAATATAATTTCTGGTTGTTAAAACTAAACCTTTATTGGAGTATTTCTTAAAAAGGAGGTAGTTGTGGGAGCACTGAAATAAAACTGGTAATACTATTGTTCTTATAGTTATTGGGTTCATGCACATTATGCCCTTAGACCCTTACCACATTTCCTCTCCCATCTTCTCAGAATAAATTATTAGTATCAGTGGTCACATTTCTACAAAAGAAAGGCAGATCGATGTATTCTTTCTAAAGTAGTGCTTTCCTGGCATTATCCCTTCAATAGCGGAGTTTGCACAGTACTGTGTTGATTCGTTTACATGCCATGTAATTTAAAAAAAACAAACTAGTGAGACTTAAAAAAAAACAACAAAAAAAAAACAACACACACGGCTTATTTGTTTTGGTCCTATATTACGTGGAGAGTGCTGGAGATTATTGTGTGTGTTAATAATATATTTATTAAGAGTATGGTGCAGTTCAAGTCTTACCAGTTTGTTTACATAGGGTTTCTTTCCAAGGAACTAGAGACAATGCATTTTGTGTTTGGATATAAACCTTCCCCTCGTATACCTTCACATCATACACATTGTTCTGCAGAATAGCATATTAAGAAAGAAAGAAAAAAACAGCCAAAGTTCAATGCCACCGATTAATTTATTAACACAGATCTGAATACTTGCACAGTCCATAACGCATAATATATCAACCTTATAATGCTAAACTTACACAAATATATTTTGAATGCATATAGACACTGCCCTGTGGTAAACCTACAAATTCAGGATATGCATTATTTTTCTAATAACTCAATTACTCAAGTGCTTTAAAAAAAAAAAAAAGTCAATTCAAGTTTGTTTTTAAAAAGAAAAAGAAAAAAAAGAAGGGGTATGTAAACTTTATAGTGAAGTCATCGTTATATGTCTCTTGTTCAATATCCAACCTGCAATCCTGAGGAAGATGACCCATCATTCAAGCAGAATTCAAAGTCATGCCAGGGACACGTTAACACCATACGACCGTTTGCAAGTTCCTCAATGTCTCCCTGCTCTAGAGGCCCTCCTGTTAAATGGAAACATCTAAACATTAACTAAATATTGAAGGAGGACATTGAAGCTCCCACACTAATTCTATGTGTACAGGTAATGGAGGATGCAAGCAATCATACCGAACTTTCTAAATTCTCATTAATATGATTAGCATTTATATTGCGCCAACATATTCCGCAGAGATTTACAATTCCAGAAGTGGGATAATTGAGAGGTGAGGAATCTATGAGAATGTGACTAAGGGTGGATGCTTCCACTGCTCTAACCAGCTGTATCGATAGGTCAGCATTTACTATAAACATACCTTCATGAGGACATGCGGAATCCATGGCATAGAACCTGTCATCTCCTGTGTGAATTAAAACCACATGTTGGCCATCTTCTGAATAGAACCTTTAAAAGAAGTGACAATTTAAAATAAAATGACATTTATTACATGTAGCACTTTCCAACTGTTCAGTTAAATAAATGTTTTTTTATTTGACATAAATCACAGTGACAGGGGTCCTCTGTTGACAGGTACAGGCAACAACAGGAACTGCAGCAGTGTGCCTGAGCATAGTGAGAGTTTGCTGCCAAGGACCCTGCTGGTGGCTAATCCCAACATGCTACCTGCTACCTGAAATGTCATGCCTCTTACTTGGTGCATGGGGATTTGAAGTTGTCCTTCTCCCCAACACACTGCCAGTTGGTGTTGCTCACAACTTCCTTCAGGGCAGTCACCAGGTCTTCGCAGAATCCCTCCATAACGTAACCGGCACAACCTGCCAGCACTGCCCGGTCACTGAAGCTTGCTACCCGGCTGCAGCAAGTACTGGAGGCCGAGGATTCAGGTTGGACCTGGTGCTAAACCGGTAACACAGCTTGGTGGAGTCACGTGGTCACTGAGGCCCCGCCTTTTCCTGCTCTCTTGACATCCAGATACTCATGTGTGTTTCCATGGAGGTGGATGCTGTCAGGCAGACTGTATGTGGTCCCTGAATGCTGCTACTTCCATGGGAATTAATAGTTATTAGCTAGACCAGATAATCATAAATGACATTAAATAATAATCACATTTACCATTTATTGCAGCATGAGATGGTCCTGTAAAAAGTCACTCTGTTTACACACAACTGGTATAATAACAACAGATTGGTAATGATTGAAATATCAGGATAAGATATGCTTCACAAATTAAATATCCTTTATAAATATATCACTCACTGCCTACTTACAGACAGGGATCGAGCTACATCCTCCACAGTAATAAAATGCTAATTGAAGCAATACTGGTAAAACCTAATGTTTTTTTTAATTTTTTTTTATAAATGGAAGAATGTATTTATATTTATTTTGTTTTCAATTAAATCTTGATGTTCCCATTATAGAATTCAGGCAGGTAGGATTGCCAGGTCAATCATGTTTCCCTTCAGTTGTATTTCTTCTTCAGACTATTTGGTACCAGGAAAGCACTGCAATGCGATGTGTAGCATTTATATGCTACAGGATGATTCATCTTATAATGAACTGATTTCTTACCTGCATTACCGTATTACTGCTGCTCATCGAATGTGTAGCACTAGAATGCTGAATACTGTAAGGCAGCACTTTTCGTGTGCTGCTCAGCAATATATATAGCAATACAATCCAGAAAAACAAAGTGGATCTAACTAATGCTTAAAAACAACTTGCTAAAGAACCAGTGGACAGCTTCAGGGGCATCAGCAGGTTGTAGCGGTAGTGGGGCCCTCCACCCTGCCCCACTGCCAATAGTTAAACCATTTTAGAACAGTTTGACTTCTTACCTGTGGTCCGCACCCCACATCACTAGTTGTGACAGAGATCTAGAGAGCCCACTGCAGGGCTTTGCAGGAACCATAACCTCCACAGTGAAGTGTGGTATATTGAACACCATCCAGACTAAACAATTAAAAATCTCTATATCACATTTTTTTTTTATTTCAGCAATTATTGCCTAAACTTCGCTGATCCATTTTTCAAGTCTTCATAGTTCATTCTTTCCGTAGTTCACTCTTTACTGTAAAAAAAAACCTTAGAGTAATTCCATAAACAATAAAAATGTGGCAGAAACCAGTACATTTTAATAGTATATATTCACTAGATGAAATATATATATTAACTTTCTCACCCCTCTCAGGTGGTATATATTTTTGTGTATTCCTCATTCTCAGGTCCTCTGCCACAGGCCTGGGGAGTCTGGGGGTTTCTACGAAGTATCTTAGTTGTTACTAGAATTACACTCTTCTGGACAGCGATCTCATATCTCCCACCTGGAAACTGCTGCAGCAACTCCCCCAACTGGAACTACTACTGCCTTCACTTTTCACATCCTTTATAGCTCCTGTTATAGTCCTTGGTATTCTCTACCTTCTCATGTTATGGTCACTGGGTATTGCCACATCCACCTCCACTGCAGTCTCTGTTTCTTGTCTACCACCACAATGTCATGTTGGTTGGCACTACTTGCTTCTCTGTCTGGATCTTCTCAAAGGATTTAGCCCTGTCATTATCAGCTACCCTTTGTGGTACCTCCCATCTGGACTTAGGCAGGTCCAGCTCATATTTTGTGCAGATATTTTAGTATGCAATACCAGCAACTTGGTTGTGCCTCTCCGTATATCCATGAGTGTATCCTCTGTGTTTCATTCAAGACTGGGCCATGACACTCCTCGGGCCATGACCTCCTTCCTTCTGGTTGGTGTACAGTTTCTGAGTGCTGGATTTCAGTTGGAATCCTCCATTCATAGAGAGTAGTTTCTGGGTATTGACATCCATGGTGACCAGCTCTTCTCTTGGCCAGGTTATTATTTCAGCTTGGTACCTGATGATTGGTAGGTCATTTGTGTTAATTGCTTGGCTTTTGTTCTTGCCATTGAGCTTGCAATGCAGGATCTGTCTGACTCTCTGGAGGTACTTTGTTGCTGCTATCCTCCTTGCCTCTTCCTCATGGTTGACATTTGTTTATGGTACTCTCAGGTACTTATATCTGTTCTCTACATCTCGAATGTGACCTTCTGGTACTTAAACTCCTTCTTTCCCTTTTTTGCTATCATTCACACACACTTATCTAATCAGAATGACATTCCGATGTCCTTGCTGGATATCCTAGTAATGTGGATCAGTGAGTCACTGTTCCGCTCACTCTTGGTATACATCTTCTTGTCGTCCATGTAGAGTAGGTGGCTGATGGTATCTCCACTCTTGAACCTGTATCAGTATTAACTCTTCTTGATGATTTGTTTAAATGGGTTGAGGCCTATGAAGAACAGCATTGGGGATAGCGCATCACCTTGGTATATGTTCACATTTAAAGTTCACTTCTGTCATTGTCCTGGAATTGGCTTCTAGATTTATTTTTACACTTGCCCATTGAGCTTTTGATAAACTACTTGTTTGGTTCTGCAATTTTCAGTTACTAAAATGGAAATCACACTTTATTAAAATATCTTTATTCTAGTTTTAAGAAACAAATGTTTATAGGGAGTAAACATATTATAACCAATGTTTTGCTTCCATTTGGGACCTTTATGAATAGAATATAAAATTTGTGTTGCAAGTCCTGCAGTTAGTTTGGGATATAGATTATTTGATATTTATATCAAATTATTATTTTCTTGAACTGATAACAAAATAGTGAACGTCAAGCTAAAATGGCCAAACTGTGAACATATCTGGGGTAGAGATCTTTAAATAACCTAGATTTTACAATTGGTTTTGAATTTTATTACATGACAGGAGGCTTCCTATTTTGCATAAACTTTCTTTACTTTATGCCTCCAGCAGCACAAGTCAATCAATCAAAATAATTTTTTTTTAAACCAATCAGAGTCCAGTACATCCAGTAAATAAGTCTCTGACAGGCGTTCCATTTCCTCTTTCTTTGCTGCTCCAGCCAAGGCACAGGTCAGAGTACTTTTTCCTAATAACTTTATTTCTTATGTTTTAAGTTATGGGAATACTCAGACTTAATTTACATTGTTAGGTTAATTGTTGTTTCCCTTTGCTCTAAATTCTTTTTCTACTATCTCCCTGTCTCCCCTCTCCCCGTCACTGCTTCCCCCCTGCTGGGGATTTTCCTCTGTCAGCCCCATTCACTACCCGATCGCGGCTATCTACCGCGATCGCGCTCATCAGTAGGGGCATAGGTTTTCCCTTCGGGGCACGGGCTTCTTGGTAGTGCTTGGTAGTGCTAGCCGGCGGCCCGCGATCGTGGCTAACACCGCGACCGCGGACCACGCAGCGTTTTTGGCGCGAACGGCGGCCATCTTGGATCCCGCGAAAGACCACAAGATCCAGGTCGGCCATCTTGCTTGCTGGCAGACCGTCATTCAAACGGTCTGCCTCCCATCTCACTACCCTCAGCCTGCCAATTGGTGCAATATCAGCTTACACTATCAGCTTACACTATTTCAAGGATTGGATGTTTGGATCATACTGACTATTAAAGGGACAGGCATCTTATTGGTGAAACTTAAACATACACTTTAAGTGTGTCTTTTTCTGTTGACCATATACCAACAGCACTTTGAGGATTTCAGGACCATCAGTATACAAACTTAAAGAGACACTCCCTGATTATAACACATTGCAAGAGTGTACTCTCCAGAGGTGACCCCTCTGAGTGGGGTGACCCCCCACAAGCACACTGATTGTTGATATTAAAGGGGTGACCCCCCTGCACTGGGTGACCCCCAGTCGTGTGCTTTACTTGCACCAAGCTGTAAATATTCGGGGTGACCCACCTAAAAGCATACTGCAGATACATAGTACCGGCACCCTCCACATTACGACTCGGGTGACCCGTAAATTCCAATGGAGGCGGAACCTACTGCAATAGGTTTTCCACTGGGCTATTATTATTGGGCACGTCCCAGATCATTATCAGGCGACACAGCCTAAACGAATTCACATGTTAATTTATGACCGCTCATCCCGGTCTCACAGAGGGTGACCCCCTCGCTAGCCCATAATTGCAGACAGCGGTGCTACACCTTACAGAACCGGTCATTGAACCAACTGGGTCCATTATATACACTGGGGGAACCCCAGTCGTAAGTGGAAAGCCACAGTATTACTATTACCGTTTACTACTCCAGTACTTCGGTAACTGACCCTGTCCTGTCTTCCACAGACAGACTAACACAGAATGAGTGAATCCTCTCAGCCAACCCAACCCGACTTCCAGTCGATGATCAACTCCGCGGTGGCAGCCTCGATGGCGAAGGCTATAGCCAAGTTGTTGGTCCATAATTTGAGTGGGGACCCTGATACTAAAGACCCAGAGAGGTCTACAGGGGACATTGTCACATCTAAGAGGCATTGGAAGGGCAGTGGCCCAGCCCCATGAAAATCGAAGGACAAGGCCTCGCTGAAGAGGAGCCGCCAGACGGAACGCCAGGGCCCTTCTACCCTTCCGCTGTCGTCCTCTGATGAGGAGGAACATAATTCGCCACCTGCACTGGAGGTTATGGATGAGTGGAAGGCGGAGGACTCCCCGTCCGAAGAAGAGGACTGGTTTGACACGCACCGGGGCGACCCAGGGTCTGACCTAGTCGAAGACCAGGACGCCCGTCATGGGCATAGGAAACCCCGCATCCAGGCGGACAGTCCGGAAGAGGGCGCTTTCCTGGACCACCAAGGCACGCCGATGTTCGACCCCCGCACAATCCGCCACCCAAGGTCCCGGACCATCTTGCCCAGTTCATCCACTTCTGGCTGAGACAGCCAATGGAAAAAGAGGTGCGTGCAAGACTAAAGGCCGAATGTCTGAGACCCATACTTCCGGACAAAATTGCACACACCCCGGAATTTGATACTACTGTGGTCCTGTTCATGTCGCGAGCGGGCCGTGATCCACGCAAAGGCATCGAAAAGGGCCTCAAGGCCTC